CCCCCGGGGGGATGGGCACGCCGCAATCCCTTCTCCTCCATTCTCCTCTCGGGATCTTGGGCACGCACACACATGTGCCCGGCGTGTTTTAAGCCACCGGGTCCGGGATGCGAACCGCGGTCGACTACGTGGGAGTCCAGCGACATAGCCATTACGCTAACTGCTGGTTCCCGACTCAGCAGTGTCCTTTACAGATGGCCACTCCACCATGTCGCAGCTGTCCTGAAGACAAGCTGAGGTCACGCGTGAAGGCACTTCGAAAGCCTGTGGGAGAATGGAGGGGGAGCACGAGGTGTTTGGGTGCAGAAGGGTTAAATCCACGGTGGCTCTTGACAAGCATTTCCCGTGAACTGTGGAAAGCACGCTGGCCAGTCTGGGTGCGGCCTGTGGTGCTGCACCGACACCTCGAGGCCCCGCTGTCACCGGGAGACGTGCCGGAAGCTGCTTGGTCTCCCTCAGCGAGTCGTGGAGAGGCCTGACCCTCTGACTGCCCGAACTGGGGGTCCGATCCCTTACAGGAGACGCGCTCTGCAGGGGGGCTCTCCCTGCTCTGCGTAAACCGAGGCGTGTGCTTGGGCCCTCGCACAGCCGACATTACCCCTTGGGAGGCTGCTCCCTCACCCAGCTGCGCCGAACTCCACCCTGCTGGAGCCCGTCCTCTGCACCTGCCCGCCAGGGGCTGCTGCGGCTCCAGCCCCACGTGACCAGGGCTGCTCCCACGCCGTCCGGGGCTCCGTGAGCACAGTCTGCCCTACTGGTGTCTCCTCGCCAGCGGCGTGCTTTCTTTAGGGATGGTGCCCCAAGACGGCCTTCCCTCCTGACTGATGGAGTGCGGGCCTCGCGTGGTCACCCTGCCCCGGCGGGCTTGGCAGAAGGGCGGCAGCTGCTTTTCCACGAGGAAGCCGGCCTCGCTCCCCTCTGCTGCCTTCTCCCAGGGAAAGACGTGCGGGGACTCCAGGGACGCAGCGGCTGGCCGCGGCTGAGTCCAGGGGCTTTGTGCTCTCTCGGCGTCAGCTCCCCGCCCGCTGGTTGTCTCTCCGGGGCTGTCCTGCCCGTCGAAGGCCCGAGGCGAGAGTGGGAAGGCGGGACCTCCCGTGCCCTGCCCCGGCCGCTGTGCTCGCTAGCCCCTCAGAGCCCGGGTCTCTTCATTGGTGAGGCGGGAGGCGTGACGCACCTGGGGACCCCGCTCTGCGGGCTGAGCGTGCGACGTTCGGAGGCAGCACGGCGCTCGGCCGTCGGCCTCCTGAAGTTTCCGTGGATGCGCATGACCTTTGGAGAGGTGTTTGCCCTCGGGCGCGCGCTCGGGAAGACAGCACCCTCTGCCGGGGCGCAGCCCTGCCCCTACTCCTGCTCTCCTGTCGGGGCTCGGGGCTCGCACATGCACTCTCCAGCGTGTTTTTCAGGCTGTGGGCTGAGACAGGCCTGGCTGACCGTGTGGGACCTGCCCCCTCACCTGCTGTGCCGCAGGGCTGGCCGCACACACAATTCCTTCGTCTTTTTCCTTTTCCTTTTCTAGAGAGAAGTTTTTACTGTAAGGCACACGGGCCTGCTGGAGACAGACAGGGAGAAATCGCCCCGGGGGATGGGCACACCACAATCCCTTCTCCCTTCTCTAAGGATTTTGGGCACGCACAAACCTCTGGGTCCAGGGCTCGAACCACGGTTGTTCACGTGGGAGCCCAGTGACATAACCATTATGCCATCTGCTGGGCCTATAAATGGTTTCTTACGGCAGCCCTGGATCCTGTCAGAGGCAGGACTTGGAGGTTAGGGAAGCCCCTCTATGTCCAGGCTAGGGGGTGGTGTCGGCTGGACAGGGTCCTCTTGCTGCATGCCCAGCTCCCCGAGGACTAGTGCCAGAAACAGCAGCCCTCGCCGTCTTCTGACCCTGGTGCACCAATACAGCTGGGCGGGTCTCCTGAGGCTGCACTTGGGGTCTTGGGGTCTCGTAGCAGTCACACTCAGGGCCGGGGTGGAGCGGGTGCGTGCTCACATGTGCTGCCCCTCGGGGTGGACTTCCCTGCGCCCCCCCCATCTCTGCACAGTCTGGCCGGGACGTCTGGGAGGGCACAAGTCAAAGCCGCGTCCTTGAAGCAAAAGCCTAGCCATGGGGCCGCAC